TTTTGACCCCCGCTAAGGATCCTACTGAATGGTACATCAAAGACAGCCCAATCCGACACCTAGTGTAGTATCATAATCGAGTCTAGGGGTTGGGTGTAACTTTCCAGTTTTGCCCATCAATCTCCAAGGTCTAGGGCAATATTGGAAATCTGGTTCATTTCATAGATTCAATTAATCATACACTGTATGTGCCTAGGGTCTCACCCTGGCAGCGGAGACAGGCCACCCCAACCGATTTGGTGGCACCACAGTGTCAGTAGTGGTCTTGTCCTGTTAACAAACTGGAATTATTCAGTACCCACATTTGTCCCTTAAACACAAAAAGGGGAAAGATCTTTGGTCCTGTACCAGAGCAGCAGTACTTTGGAGTTTGTGTTGTGAAAGGAATGCAAGACTTTTCGACAACAAATCAAGAGATGAAGACACCATATAAAAATGTTATGGTGAAGACAGATGACTGGATGTTAACCTGGTGCCATCCACACGGTACCACCATGGAAAGGTTACAATGAGTTTCTCAGGGCTAATTGGGACTAGAAACTCAATCAATGCTGAGATTTCTGCACTATTTTTGGGTCTGAAGTTAATTAATTTACTAGGATTGTCTAATCTGATGATTGAAGGGTCCCTGGATACTTCAACAGCTGATCCGAGAATCTATTTCAATGGCATCCAATCTGAATTGCTTGTTCAGATGGAAACCATGCTTGGCTTATTCAATAGCAGATGCTCTTTCTGAGGCAGGAGTGTCCCGGGAGCAGCACTCTAGGTCTAGGGCCGGGCATTGATGTAAACCCAACTTGATTGTAACAGAATATGGGTCTGTCAGTTTTGTTCTATTTGTACTGTCTGCTTTGTCGCATTTTTTGGATACTAAGTAGTTCTTTCTCACAAATCACAATTGATACAATTCACTGTTGCTGATAAATAAAAAGGTGATATGGTGTGCAAGATTTAGGATATTGGACAGAGAAGCGGATGAATATATTTTTCTGTTTACCAAACTTGAAGTGGAGAATATAGCTCCTTGTGTCTCAGATGCAAGATGGTGGAAGGGATACAGAAATGGCTACTTCATTGTTAAATCTTTCTTCTCCCTCTCTCCTTAATTTCCCTTTGATTTTCTCACTTAATCACTTCCAAAGCAAACACATAATACTCTTTGCAACACTTGGGTTGAAGATTAATCCTAATCTTGTAAATGAAGAGGATCATATTTTAAAGCTTAATACAATTTATTCTAAGAAAGGTTATTGTGCTTTCCTAACCAACACTGCCACCCTCCCCCCACTAACTTTCACAGAGATATGATTAATGCAGCCAACTCCACTATGCATCTTGTTGTGCCAGAAACCAAAGATAATATGAAAGAAAAATACAACAATAGAGAACACACAAGATTTAATCATGATTTGCACTTATGTCCATGGATGAATCCCTGCCATAATTCTAATGCAATAATACAATCCTGGCATAATAGCTAGTTTTTATCACTGATTAGTTTTTTTTTTTTCACGTTCCTAATTCAAGTACAACTGAGTGTATGTATTGCAAAACAAATATTGAAAATACCCTTGTATGTTGTATGACCGAATTCTGCATACCCTTTGCTTGTAAAAGAACTCTCCAATAAATTCTAGCACCGCACTCTTTTCTTTCATGCAATTTTGGCTTGTATGAGTTAGTTGGTAATGTAATTTTGAAGTTGCTTACTAAGAGGTATTCCTTTTTCTGTTTTGCCAGTCAGTGACCTGGGAACATTAGTTGCTCATGAGACTGGCAAGGCCTTCTTCTCAGGTATTAAACGGATGCTGAGATTTGTTGATCTCATTGGCCGATCTATTGTGGTATATGGAACTGAAGATAAATCAGACCACGGTACTGGAGCTGCAGTGATAGCTAGGAGTGCAGTAGGTGAAAACTATAAAGAGCATTGCACATGCCATGGCACCACCATATGGGAATCAAGTAATAATGATTAATTGTAATAAAAACTTGATGATTGTAATTTTAGATCAGATGTGTTACCTTCAATTTGTTGAATATGTGTTCTAAGTGGTCTATGCTGTATTAATTCAACTTGATTTATTATCCTTTACTGAATACTACAAGATTTCTGTTATTCTGTATGAAAAAGGAAGAAAAGCCATTCTATGTAATAAAAATGGATGAGCCGCAGAACTCTTGGATACCTTTGTTTATTCGTGTCATCTTCTAGATTCTCATCAAAACACTTATATTGGTTCTAGCCATGTGATTACTATTGGGCTCCTTACCTTGTGTATTCCATCACTCCATATCAAATTTCCGAATTCCGGCATTGATTGCCGAGATTTTGTGGTGAAGGTGATCTTGTATGCTAGTTTCCGGTGTTTGCTTGTAAATTGGAGTGTTTTTGGCTCTACTGAGACAGAAGCACCTTTGAACTGGGAGACTCTGGCATGGTAGGTTGAAACAGGGGATCCAACATTGGTGACAGTCCTGTGAAGTGTCAAGAGAGAAATAGAGTGCTGTTCTGGAAATACGGCAGAAATGGCAGGATAGTTTAGATCACCTGGGTTTGCAAGAGTGTGATGGCAGGATCTGTTCGAGGACTTGGTGAAGACTTTGAGCTGCATTGGTGTTAGCTTCTGTGTGCAGAGGAATTCAAAGTAATCCTGCACGCCCATGTCATAGATCAGGCCAGGGTCAAGAGCTTTCAGTGGGTTTAGGTGACCAGCCCCATGGCCGAATGGATTTGAAGGTTTACCAGTTGAGGCATCTTTGAGTGGGTTGCGTGTATTATCATGGATGTAAGCTGTGGTCATTAGGGATGATTTTATCGCCGCTGGACTCCATTCTGGATGCTTAGCCTTGAGCAAGGCAGCTACCCCACTGACATGCGGGCATGACATAGAAGTCCCGGACAAGATATTAAACCTCACTCTCCGACGGTCAGTTGGCAAACCTGATGGCCCTGCTTTGCCGGTCCATGCTGCAAGGATGTTCACACCAGGCGCCACTACGTCAGGCTTCAGAATTTCAAGTGTGAGGAAGTTGGGCCCTCTAGATGAGAATGCTGCCACCACAGGGGAAGGCCGTATGCTTAACTTTGTGCCAAGAATCGCTAGAGTTGCAGTTGGGCGTGAATTTGTTAGGGCATAGCGCTTGATGGCTTTTCCAGCCTCTGCTCCAACTGCAACTGCTGGAAGGAGGTGGCTGTCTGCAACCAGCTCTTCCCCATTGGCAGCAGTATTTGATAGGATCATGCCCACTCCACCTGCAGATTTCACCACTTGACCCTTCTCTACTCTTGGGTTGACACCACGATCGCAAATCACAATTTTCCCAGCCACAGTACGTGGATCTAGAGTCCCCTCAAGACACAAGGAGCTTGGATCAGGGCTACTGGAATTGCTCCCCATGTAAGCCAGAGGGTATTGCTTCTTTGCTGACAGGTTTCTCCGGCCTTTGTAGAGTGAGACCCCAGACGAAAGGTGACCATTCCCCAGTTTTACTGTAGATGGGAAATCCCTGTCCATGGTGCTGGCTCCAACTGTGATGACCCAAGGAGATACATTGGTGAGACTGATTGGATCAGGCCCTCCATTTCCAGCCGAGCAGGAAACGAATACGCCCTTCTCCATAGCCACAAAAGTGGCTATGGACAAACTATCGCGGTAATAAGAAGAGACACCGCCTCCCAGGGAGATTGACAACACGTTGACACCATCAGCCACGGCTCGGTCTACTGCAGAAAGAATATCCGAACTGAAACACCCATCAAGCCAACACACCTTGTAAGCTGCCACTCTTGCCCTGGGTGCCATTCCTCGGGCCGTCCCTCGAGCGTAGCCTAGAAGGTTTGCACCTTCTACGGGGGAGCCCGCAACTGTGGCTGCAGTATGGGTGCCGTGTCCATCCTGATCTCTCGGCGATTTGTACTCGTCCTGCTCGTTGATCTTCCCGGAAGCAGCTTCATATCCACGGTAGAAGATCCGGGCACCGATTATCTTCTTGTTGCAATTGTCTGTCGTAAAGCCTCGGCCCGTCTCACAGGCTCCCTTCCACTGTGCAGGAACCGGTTTCATGCCTGTGTCATTGAAGCTTGCACTCTCTGGCCATATTCCAGTATCCAGCACTCCCACTACGACATCATGATCGGATAAGGTATCAGACCAAACAGTACTGGTGCTGTCTTCCGTTTCGAGCCCGAGGAACATAGGACTCCTCGTGGTGTGTAGGTGGTAGACAGTTTCTGGATACACGGCCAGAACGCCATACCCCTCCTCCAGTCTCTGAGCTTCTTCTTCAATAAGCCTGGCAGCAAACCCATGAAACGCTGTTTCATAACTGTAAATTATCCGCTCGGAGGCATCCTCATCTTCTGATTGAGGTGTGGCCATTACTGACTTGACAGTAGATGAGTACCATTCGAGGTGGTCCGCGAATGACTCCGGCAGCACCGACTTATCCATATGAACGATATAAGTCTTCTTTAGTGAGGAGAGGGTAGCTGTGGAGACAGCAAAGACTACGGTTAGATACCACAGAAAAGACAGTAACAGCCATTTTACTGAATCTCTGTTAGCCATCATCGCCATGTGGATGTGGAGGAGGTGAAGGGAAGGGGAGTGGGAACGAAGACTTTTTCTCTGAATGAAAAAGAAGAAGAAGAAGAAGAAGAAGGAGAACTGATGGAATGATATTTCAGCTTCAGGGCTGAAATGTTCAGAAGCTGAGGATTTGGCACTTAGTTAATTTGTCAGGCAGTGCAGAAATAATAAAGGTGGCAGTTGTTGACGAACGTCCCGTAGATTTATCATTTAAGAAGAAGGTGGTGGGGTGAGACGTGAGAGTTGGATTGCCATGTTGCTATATTGGCACCTCGGAAGTGGTGTCCACTATTTAGTACTGCAATAATGCAAAAAAGTACATGATCTTTCAGCCGTTAGATTGAGAAGATGATGACATCATTGACATGAGCCTTGTTGTATCATAAATGAACAGCTTGGAATGGAATGGCAGTTTACCAGTCTAAGCAGATATTAATGGAGGGCCAGAGCCCAGATGGGTGGAACTCGGGAGATGATTCACGCAGAGTTCAAACCCAACCGATTCGTTAATGCAGACGACTTTGATTGTTGGTTGCTACCTACCAAGGCAAGATGCCTGTGGCACCTGATAAACTTTTTTGGGCATGGCCGATGAGTCACCTCCTGGTGTGAATTCTGTTGAGATCTTACTTTTTGTCTGTGTCAAACTTTTTTTGAGTGGAGAAGTGATTGTCGTTTCACTAATTCATATTTGACAGAATGTGGAATTTGTTTGATTGGATTGACATGAATCGAAAAAGTTGCTGAGCGAGTGACTTGTTTTTGTTCTGGATAGTTTGCATGTTTGCACCAAGATTAAGACCAGAAATTATTTAAAAACATCCAGATAAGATGGATAACAGCCATCTCCATTTCCTTTTTCAAGCCTTAACGAGTACCATTTCCTTTTTCTCTCTTTTTCTCCATTACACTCTAATTGGCCAAAAGAAGAAAAAGAATGAGGTAAAAGCTTCAACTTTAGCTGTGTAAAAATAGCAAAAGCTAGTGGAGAAGGCAACCACTTTTTATTGTTAGTGGGGTGCATATTCTAAAAAGAATCGTAAATAAAAAGAAAATCTTTGATCTCCATATCCTGTGCATGGTATCCCTTTCAACCAATTTGATTCCAACTAAGATCATGCAAATTCAATCCCTTTCCTGGGATTTCGATCTATCATTCAAATTCAATTTGTTTATAATTGGATTGGATGTGAATCCATCATTCTATGCAAAGGTTGTAATTGGTTCTTTGTTCTTATTTATTTGCACTGATCATAGATGAATTGATTAAACATATTAAATATTTTATGGTGTATGCCGTTTATTTCAATTGATAAAATTAATGAAAGATTAAATGTAAAATTAATTAAGTTTATGGAGGAATATCTTAAAATCAAGAGGTTTTAAGATTAGTAAGATTAGAACAGACATGTGTCATATAAATTTAAATAAAAGTAGTGCAAATCAAGGTATACTTAGCATTGGAGATCATAAATATAAAATTAAGTGCTTTTTTTTCAGTACCCCGGTTTGATAATTTATAACAAAAGAGATTAAGGAGGATGTTGCCAATAAAATTAGAGTAGGATGGGCAAATTGAAGTGATGCATTCAAAGTCCTACGTGATAATTGAGTACCACTTCACTAAAAGGAAATTTTTATAAAGGGTTGAATACTTAAACTACCCTTATGGTTTAGCAAATGGACACAAACATTCCTTACTGTTTAAGAAATTACTTAAAGTACTCCAAACATTTTTGATAATGGACAAAATCCTATCCTACCATTAGCATGTCGTTACAATCCATTCGCATGTGATGTCACGTGACATATATAATTTTTCTTAATTCCGAGGTTACTCTTCTATGATCAATTATGCCTGTCATTGTTCTTTAAATTTTCATCCACTCAGGAATCAAATTGATCTAAAAATTTTCATCCACTTGGACAGGCCACCACCGGTGAGGAGAGGGTTAGATTCTAAAAAAAGTCTCAACTGGATACAACAAAATGTAGGTTGATTTGGTGGGAGGATATTATGATGTTGGGGACAATGTGAAGTTGGGGTTTCCCAAGGCTTTCACGACCTCCATGCTTTCATGGAATGTTCTCGAGTTTGATGGAGTGATGAAGGCCGAGTTACAGAACGCAAGGATCACCATTCGTTGGGTTACTAATTACCTTCTCAAAGCTACCGCTCATTCTAACAACATTTACGTTTAGGTCTTTGTTTCAGTTTGTGATTATTTCCATCTTTTGTTCTCTATTTATTTCCTTGTTGGTAGAAAATCTAGTTTGGAGGTTTTATAGAGGGAGTAGTCTTATCTTTAGAAATATTTCTTCTATTTGATTGCTAGGAGAGGTATAACAGAGGAGTTGAAGGTGGTTTTGTATGTTGGAAGGAGATTCAAATTTTCAAGAATCTCTCCTCCCTCCCTTGTGTTCTTTGGGTTTTCTCTTTTCCTCTTCCCTCCTTTGAATGCATGGGAAGACTCCTTATCCCACATTGCTTGGGAAGAGAGTTGAGTTTGAGTATATCTATAGACTTGCTCTCTATGGGTAGGGACGTAGGAAGAAAGCACTATAGATGTTCACATGCATTTGGGGGGTGTTAGGGGTGCTTTTCACATGCGTGTGCCGAGCCAAGCCGAGCCGGGTTGAGGCACGGGCGTGGGTACATGTATACGCACGCTACACCAAATCATTTTGGTTTTTGACCAGTTTAAACAGTTTGACTTTTGAATTTCAAAATTTAGTTTTTAAACGTTTCCTTCTTCCTTTTTGTGTCTCTTCGAACATGTGCAATATTTTGAAGAGACATCTCACTGAAAGAACACTTCTGTGTCCATTCGGATGATAGAACACTCTATAAAAGTGTTAGACAATTTTGACTAGTTTAAACAGTTTAACTTTTGAATTTCAAAATTTATTTTTCTAAACGTTTTCTTCTTCCTTTTCGTGTCTTTTCTTCTTTGTGTCTCTTCGAACAGGTGCAATGTTTTAAAGAGACATCTCACTAAAAATGACACTTCTGTGTCCTTTCGGGTGACAAAACACTCTATAAAAGTGTTAGACAGTGCATGCCCTTAGCTCCAATCAGATTGAAGTACAAATACATACATTTATTGTAAATGAATAAAAGTATATTATTATTTCATGTTGATATTGTTATGTTTTTTGTGAAATTACCCATTAAATTGGACATTTATGAGACTCGTGTTAGTTTAGAATTGATAGCCATAAATATATAACCCTAGCAAGTGCACTAGTTATCAAATAGTATAATAATATCGTTCCCACGGGGATTTAACAAAACAAGTATTAGAACCACCGTCTTCCCTAATTATCTGGACAATCGAAATTCAGATTTGAGCAAGAACTACTGAAAATAAACACTAGAAAGAGTAAATAGAAACAAAGGTGATCATTAACCGAATATGCAATGGATGAAATCGCTAGGACTTTTAGTCCACCTAACCAATGTAATGAATATTGATGGGTTCGGTTAACCAAGATTATTTGTCATTCCCATAAGCTGAGGTCTTCCTAAATTTATTTAATATTCTCTCTCGAGATATACTAAACCTACGCCCATCAGGTAACCCTTCGATCTCTCGAGTAGAGCTCTCAAGATGGAAATGCATTAAATCCAAGAAAAACCATTAAATTCAGATGAATCATGTATATATATCTCTATATACCATTCAATTCACACTATAAACTATTTAGTCGATTATGTGAATTCTTTTCTCGATTCATTCACATAAACCAAATCAATTAAGAGGTGGCCAAGCTCTTAATCGCATTAAGAAAAATAATTCATAGACTATATGGAAATCACAATCTTGGATAGAATATTAGGGGATAAAAATATGATAAATTTTATTCTCATCAAATCCCTCCACACTTAAACTCTTGCCCGTTCTCGAGCAAGACAAATCTGAAGCAAAACTAAAACAAGACAAGCTGGCTAACTATTAAAATTTTGGAGGTCATTCTTCACAGGATGTTCGCCCTCTTGCATGCCTTGATCCAGTATTTAATGATCCTTCCATTCGTCCACTTCTTGTTCCTCTTTAACTTGTCAAAGAATTATCTTAAATCGCCAATCCTCATGTTCCCAAGTGAAATCAACAATAAAGGGGAGCAGGCATTTCGTCGCGTGAACAATTTTAGGACTAAAGTAAAAACTCATTGTTTTCATAATCAAAATGCAGCAAGATTTAAAGTATTCCCTCATAATAAAATATATATGTTTTTTCGAATAAGTCAAAACAGGGAATGTTATTACTATAGGCTTGCTTATGTATCACATCTCCACCACTAGCATGAGTTCATTGCATCAAAAGGTGACAAGGGGTTTGGGATCTAGGGATGAGTGTATTTTATGCTCCATCTCACCCTTTTCTTATGCTTTTAGTGTGAGTGCATTTTATGCTCCATCTCACACTTTATTTCTTCTCTTCTTCCCTTTCTCTCTTTTTCTTTTTCTTTTTTTTTTTCGAAAAAGGCATCACCATTTTCATACCAATCATTGAACTCACTATCATGGTCTCAACATTTCTACTAAAGCAAGTTCTAGAATAATCAAACCATGTTAGATGGTCATAAACCAAATGCTCATAGGGGTCAAATTTGTATTGCATCTTGCTCGTTGATCATTCCAACTACTGAGGTACCTTTCATAGCCAAAAATTTTGGCTAGATTTGCTTGCATCATTTCTTGTCTATCGCTCCTAAGCACATGATTCATGGTGGTTTGCAATCATTCAAAAACAAGTCTCTAGGGAGCAAAGATTTCGAAAGGAAAGGTTAGAGAGTGATAATCGAAGCATGCTAGAGTCCAAAAAAATTTATCAACCCTTTAATCCTCCCCCACACTTAAGATATACATTGTCCTCAATGTATGGAATATGCAAAACAAGAACAAGGAGAGAAAGATTTAAGAGGAATTCCCTAAATGCCTCGTTGAGATCCTGCAGATGCGAGATATGAAAAAAACACACTCATAAGAGAGAAAAAAAAAATTGAACAAAACAAACAACTAAACTTAATGGGCTGCCTCCCACAAGCATTCCTTTTAATTCGTGAGCTTGACTTTCACCTTTCTTTCATGGCGGTTTCAAAGAGAGAATGGACCCATGGTGGATGGGTTGCTCCCCTTCAATATAATGCTTCAATCGCTGCCCATTTACCTTGAATGTACTCTCATCATCATTATGCAGTTCAATTGCTCCATGAGGGAATACCCTAGCCACT